GCAGGCTGCGCTGATGCTACCCAACACAGGCTTGCAAACACGCCCATGCTGACCCCTCGCTCCCACACATCGTCCACCCCCAACAGCAAACACGCCCATGCCGACCCTCCGCTCCCACACATCGTCCACCCCCAACAGCAAACACGCCCATGCTGCCCCCTCGCTCCCACACATCGTCCACCCCCAACAGCAAACACGCCCATGCCGACCCTCCGCTCCCACACATCGGCCACCCCCAACAGCAAACACGCCCATGCCGACCCTCCACTCCCACACCTCGTCCACCCCCAACAGCAAACACGCCCATGCCGACCCTCCACTCCCACACCTCGTCCACCCCCAACAGCAAACACGCCCATGCCGACCCTCCACTCCCACACCTCGTCCCCCCCCCCCCAACAGCAAACACGCCCATGCTGACCCTTCGCTCCCACACATCGTCCACCCCCAACAGCAAACACGCCCATGCTGACCCTCCACTCCCACATCTCGTCCACCCCCAACAGCAAACACGCCCATGCCGACCCTCCACTCCCACACCTCGTCCACCCCCCAACAGCAAGCACGCTCATGCCGACCCTCCACTCCCACACCTCGTCCACCCCCAACAGCAAACACGCCCATGCCGACCCTCCACTCCCACACCTCGTCCCCCCCCCCCAACAGCAAACACGCCCATGCCGACCCTCCACTCCCACACCTCGTCCACCCCCAACAGCAAACACGCCCATGCCGACCCTCCACTCCCACACCTCGTCCACCCCCAACAGCAAACACGCCCATGCCGACCCTCCACTCCCACACCTCGTCCACCCCCAACAGCAAGCACGCTCATGCCGACCCTCCACTCCCACACCTCGTCCACCACCCCCCCCCCCCCCCCCCTCCCATCACTTTGCACGTCTCCACAGCTGTAGGCTATTTGTCTTCGGATCGCTTCTGTTATCACCTTACGCGCCCACGAACGACTAATTTTACACAAAGCCCACGCGTCTGCGCCTCATCCTCGCACGGTATGCCTCGTCCAAGCCTTGAGCCATTCAGGGGCGGGCGCAATCCGGGAGCACTCTGAGGGTCTGTCCCCCACCTTCGTCACGCGTGTTTCATTGCAGCAACATAGACGGCTGCTTCGGTTCTCTTATGAGTGCTTACCGAACTCCGCCTTCCCCCCACACTTAAGCAAATCCTGGCTATGGGCCTGGCTTAATCTAAACTTAAGCCTCCACACGTCCTGGATTCCCCGTCACTTCATCTATCACATTTGGTCACATCACACACGCTGGCTGCTATGCGTGTGCCCGATGCAGGAGCGGTGCCAGCCCTCGCCCCAGCTTGGGAGGGTCGGCCGTGCGGCGATGGCTGTTTTGTGTGCGGCCAATTGCTCCTGCGATGATGGATGGTGGCGACGTTTCCTCGTCATCACTCCCGCTGATGGCCCCGCTCGGCGAGACGCCACCGTCGCTTTTTTTGTCGGCCATTGGGGACGCGCACCAGAACACGAATGGTGCCATGATCTGTCGCTATGAAATTCCATTGTGCGGAACATGGAGAACGATAGAACTAGCTTTGGCCTGCCGATATCACACGCACTACGACGAGACTTCGAGCGGCATTCTGAGACTCTGGGCCGGGGTGTGGGGCAGAACGGCACTGCAGCGGTGGTTTAACGTGCCGTGATCACTCACCACACCGGAGCGCCGGGTGTTGCACTGACCTCTCGCGGTCAAAGGTCACAGAGACCGCAGAACGATGTCCTGGCCTTCTGCGGGAAGACGCCGCACAGGTCCGCGCCTGCTATCTCCTACATTGATGTCGCTGTCCTGCTGTTTGTATTCGCTCAGGCGGCGGCTCCGCACGGAATGATGATAACGTACCAGTTGGGACGCGCGGACAAATGACGCATTCATTTCTGTAACTTGACAACCGCTGGAGGCATTCGCATGGAACCGGGAAAGGACCGTATGTATCTTAAATACTTTCCTTTCATCTGATAGTTTTGCGTTTAGCATAGCCCCATGACAATCTATGCATGTTTGTGACAGTCGGGACAGTTTGGCAAAGCCGTTGCGGAACAATTCGACCGGCGGTGACCGGAGCCAAACTTTCACAGCCGTCTTCCTGAACTGGGTTCCCGAAGAGGCTTCTCTCGCTTGAGAAACGGATAAAGGTCGCGCGGAGCCAGATAGTCAATAGTTCTCTCCGCTGAAGTGGTCGGCGCGTCCGTGGTGTTACTCGAGACTGACCTAGTCGGCGCGTCCGTGATGTCGCTCGAGACTGACCTAGTTGGCGCGTCTGTGGTGTCACCCGAGACTGACCTGGTCGGCGCGTCTGTGGTGTCACTCGAGAGTGACCTGGTCGGCGCGTCCGTGGTGTCGTTCGAGACTGACCTGGTCGGCGCGTCTGTAGCGCCGCTCGGCTGGCGCCGTGGGTCCGCCTCATCGCCGGGCATTCCTCAGTGCTGTATGGCCACAGCCACCACAGACGTCAGTAACGCGTTTTTGACAGCGACACACTGACATGGCACACATTAATGAATTCATCACTGTAAGCAGTTTTCAAGCCGGTAGGAATATCAACAGAAGTCTTCTTGGCTGTCAGACACTGGCTGACAGCGCGCTGTTTAACACCAGCCGGGGCCGCCTTCTTGTCCGGCGTTTTCATCTGTGACGGGGCTACGGTACCTATCGTCCATCATGCAGATAGCCTCGAATAGTTCTGAAACCAATGGAGTGAGAGCGATGAAATTTTAGGAGCTTAACATAAAAACTTGTCTTTTCATGATACCGCTCACTCCATTGACATAAGTGACTCCGTTCAGGAGAGATAAAAATGAAGACAGTGTTTTTAAGTAAATTTATGAATCCTGCCACCACTATAGGGTATCGCGAAAGGTTCTGGCTGTTCGGTTCCAGCGTTGCGACCGCGTCTGCCATGTCAAATGTTATCATTATTATTGCGAACCTTGACGAAATCCAGCGAGTGGCTATTCTAACGCCGCGTCAATACATACTACATAGATCAACACAGAACACGCAACACATGCAAATGAGACGCAACGCAAACGATACACATACAATGCTATAAAACATGAGCAACTTGTGATACAGTCAGCACCTGCACGACATGGCCAGTTGGTCAACTTCAGTAAATTCTCTGCTGAAAGACTTCGCTTTGCCCTTCAACTCCTTTAGTTTTTGCACTGGTGCGTCGCAGCGGGGAGGCGATTCCACGCCGCCACGGCTTGATAGGGAAATGCCCCTTTCACACACTCTAAGCGAGGGTGTTTTACAGCCCTCGTCTGCAGTGCAATTTCGTCATCGGTGGCTTTCGTGTGCCTCTGAGACACTTCAGATCGGCGCCTGATCAGATTACTGATAGCCCCTGGCCCATCAGGCACGTAAATGGCGCGATGCAAACATATGCAGTCGCGGTGGGTGACAGTCTCGTCGACCTGACCTCGAAGTTAATAGCCTTATCCAGGCGCTGACGCTGGACGGCTGTTGTCGGGCCCCATGCAGGTAAACAATATCTGATGTACGGGAGGACCAGTGACTCAACTACGGACTTTATTGTGGAGCTGAGAAGCACAAGCCTAAGCTCGTTAATAGCTATGAGGGAGCCAAAACAGCGCTGAGTATTTTAGCCTTTGATGCTGCTAGTTGAGATTTTTATCGATGAGCACCCCCCGTATTTTGATGTACTCTGAAGGAGGCAGCTGGGAGTTATCAAAATTCATAGCTCAGCCCGGCGGGTTTGCGGATGTTGGTGGGTGTGCCGGGATCAATTAATTCAGTTTTGATGGGTTAATCTTCATGCCATTGTGACGAAACCATACTGGGACTGCAGTCAGATCGGACTCAACACACGAACGCAGCTGTGCGAAACCACAGCCAGATGGTGATGCATGAGCATGAGCTGCATGAGCAGCTGCATTCATGCATGAGCTGCATGTCGTCTGCATATGACACCAGTTTACACGTAGCTGACGCATAACACTGGATGTCGTTGGTTAAAGGGAGGAACATCAGCGGTCCTACCATGCTGCCCTGAACCACGCCATATGCGACCTCAAGGCTCGGCCCGTTTCTGCCCATCACAGTCTGTCGGCGGTCGGTGAAATAATGCGAAAACCAGTGTGGTGAAATACCATAGCATTCCAGCTTGGGTAAAAGAGCAGAGCGGTCCACACAATTGAAGGCTTTTGACAAGTCAGCTGAGCTAATGGTGATGATCATACCGGCATCCATGTTGTTGTTTATATGGCTAACTATATCCATGACTGCACGCTCGGTGGAGTGGTGAGGATGGTACGCGTATTGCGAGTCAACAAGGATGTGGTGACTAGTCACATATTCTAAAAGCTGGGTACAAAGCAACCTTCTCCGTCCGTCAGCTTGCTTACAACACTGAAAACGCCGATAGGCCTGTAATTCGACGGTTCAGACGCCAGTCCCCTTGTGCAGAGGCGCGATTGTCACAAGCTTTCAGATGGACGGGACGCTACCAGCGGTGATAGAGTGGTTCACAACGTGTAACAAGTGAGGGCCAACCACTCCAAAACACTTCCTGAGCACGGACAGGCATACATTGTCCGGGCCTACTGCCTTGGAGTTGCTCATGCGGCGCAGCGAGAGACTGAGCTCCGACAGGGTGACCAATCTGACGCGGCAAGCGCCACTGACCGCCCTTGGCAGCCGCAGAGGCAGGTCCGCACCGGGTTCGCTGCTCAGGGTGTCGGCAATACGCTGTCCCACTGTGCCGAAGTATTCGATGAATTTGTCGGCGTCTGTCGGGTCCAGAGTGTTGTTGGATTTTTCTGGTTTGTTATCGACGGCGTATCTATTCAGCTTGCAACAGGTTTTCTTTGATGTTTCGTTTGGGTCGCACTTGAAGACGTCAGTCAGAAATGTGTGCAGGAAGGTGCGTGGAAACTGAAGAGTTTCTGGTATGCGATTGATGCATGCGAATGTGCAACCTTACGTATGATGGTGGTTTTCCAGGGGCAATTTTCACCGAGGAGCAAAGGTCCAGTGCCCTAGAGATGGCGTTTAAGTACGCTGTTTTGAAGGTCAACATGGATAGCGAAATTCTTCCAAATACCACCATTGAGTACGACATCCGTTATGTACACAAGGACGACAGCTTTCACACTGCCAAAAAAGGTGAGGTAACCACCGTGTTGCATCTACAAGGCTGGGTAATTCACTTTTATTTTGGTAAGCAATTTGCTGGCAATTAGACGAACAGGTAAATCAATTCAGGTACTTATTTTCGTTGAATATATGAACAAAAACAAGCGCCTTTGTTACAAAGCTGTTGATTGGCTGTTAGTACGTACTGTCACGTCGTAGGCATAGCGCAACAAACGCAGCGGAAGCAGAAATATAAACCCTTATGTTAAGCCCCCCTCGATTAGCATTTGTCTACAAGTGCAGCCACATAACATCGCTCCAGAAGTGTATGCGAAATCCGTGCACCGCCGTCCGAACATTTTCGTCATTCCCTGCGCCTCTCACTGTAATAGCTTTATTCCCCACTCTTCCACTTCGTGTACCCCGACCACCTTCTGCAGTTCCTCCCAGTGTGCCGTCCCTGATTCCCGTTTTTCCTTAGTTTGACGTCCCGTTCTTTCCCAAAACCTTGACCCTTTTTCTAGTTTCCCTCATCGTACCATAGCCCTGTACCCTGATTCCCCACTATACTGCCCCTCCCCATTGTGCCACCAAGGTCTACCCCCCCGTCCTCTCATCGCGCACCGTCACCACCCGTGCCCATCAGCGCATCTTCGCCACTGTCCTGTTCTCTGCAGTGTGCCGTCCCCACCGTCACCACCGTCCGCACCGTCACCACCCGTGCCCATCAGCGCATCTTCACCACTGTCCTGTTCTCCGCAGTGTGCCGTCACAAACGTCCCCGCTCCCCTCAACGTACCGCCACTAACATCCCCTTCTCTCCTCATCGTACCATCACCACCATCCCCTGATTCCCTCAACGTAACGCCACTAACATACCCTTTTCCCCTCATCGCACCGTCACCATCATCCCCTGCTTCCCCAGCGTACCGTCACAAACGTCCCCTGCTCCTCTCGGTATGCCGCCACCACATCCCCTGCTCCCCTCAGCGTAACACCACCAATGTCCCCTGCTCCCCAACGTGCCGTCACCAACATCCCCTGCTCCCCCCGGCGTACCGTCACCAACGTCCCCTGCTCCCCCCCGGCGAGCCGTCACCAGCATCCCCTGCTCCCCGACGTGCCGTCACCAGCATCCCCTGCTCCCCGACGTTCCGTCACCAGCATCCCCTGCTCCCCGACGTACCGTCACCAGCATCCCCTGCTCCCCGACGTGCCGTCACCAGCATCCCCTGCTCCTCGACGTACCGTCACCAGCATCGCCTGCTCTTCGACGTGCCGTCACCAACATCCCCTGCTCCTCGACGTACCGTCACCAACATCCCCTGCTCCTCGAGGTGACGTCACCAGCATCCCCTGCTCCTCGAGGTGACGTCACCAGCATCCCCTGCTCCCCGACGTGCCGTCACCAGCATCCCCTGCTCCCCGACGTGCCGTCACCAGCATCCTCTGCTCCCCGGCGAGCCGTCACCCCCGCCCTCCGCAGTCTGCAGCCAGCTGCGGTACGGCGTACACGCGCTGTTCGGGCCGACGGACCGGCTGCTGGGCGCGCACGTGCAGAGCATCTGCGGCGCGCTGGACGTGCCGCACGTGGAGGCGCGGCCGGACGCCGACTGGACCGCCCCGGGCCGCAGCATTAACCTGCATCCGGCCCCGGCTGACCTGGCCACTGCGTATGCTGACCTCATCGACTTCCTCAACTGGACCCGCCTCGCCGTAGTCTATGAAGACAACGCAGGTGGGTGCTGGCGTTTCGGTCATGGCCTGTGAGGAGCTCACCGGATGTGAGCTGGCGTCTGTCGGCTGATGCATCGAAAGGAGTACACGACTTGCTTTTGAATGACTGTGTCCGGCTCCGGCAGCTTAGCAAGTTTTGTGGACCATCCCAGTGCCACCAAATGGGCAAGTGGCTTTGCATGCTCTGACTGCGGTGTTTGCTCCTGCGGTTACTGCGGTTAGTTAGAGATTCCTTGTCGAAGCACTCAGTGTGGTATATGTATATATATATATATATATATATATATATATATATATATATATATATATATATGTATATTACACGGGCACATGATATGACAGGATAGGACAGCAGGCGTACAGCACAGTGTGATGTGACCGACAGTCACACCCTGGTCCTCACATGACCGTGTGGTGTGACCGACAGTCACACCCTGGTCCTCACATGACCTTGTGGTGTGACCGACAGTCACACCCTGGTCCTCACATGACCGTGTGGTGTGGCCAACAGTGGCAGACCCTGGTCCCCACGTGACCGTGTGGTGTGGCCGACACGTGCAGATCCTGGTCCTCACATGACCGTGTGGTGTGGCCAACAGTGGCAGACCCTGGTCCCCGCATGACCGTGTGGTGTGGCCGACACGTGCAGACCCTGGTCCTCACATGACCTTGTGGCGTGACCGACAGTCACACCCTGGTCCCCACGTGACCGTGTGGTGTGGCCGACACGTGCAGACCCTGGTCCTCACATGACCTTGTGGCGTGACCGACAGTCACACCCTGGTCCCCACGTGACCGTGTGGTGTGGCCGACACGTGCAGACCCTGGTCCTCACATGACCTTGTTGGCGTGACCTGACAGTCACAGACCCTGGTCCCCACGTGACCGTGTGGGTGTGGGCCGACACGTGCAGACCCTGGTCCTCACATGACCTTGTGGCGTACCGACCAGTCACACCCTGGCCCCACGTGACCGTGTGTTGGTGGCCGACAGGTCTGT